TTATTCTTGAACTACTAAAATGTTCGAAAAGGGAAGGAATTCTACAGTGCCATTTTAAATGTTTTTGTATTTGCTTAAGCTACAGTTTTTTCCTAATAATAACTGAAAGAGAGTGCTGGTGCTTTCCTAACTGAAAAAAAAACTCAATTTAATTAGAATACTCGTTTTCGTTATGAACACAGGTCTGTCAAAGGATTCTTCAGCACTCAATTGCAAGGATCTCAAAACAAAGGTGCCTTCTGCCACGTCAGGCGTCTACTGGATTGACCCCGATGCTGGTTCCCATAGCAACGCTTTCCAAGCCTATTGCGACCAACAAACGGAAGGAGGAGGTTGGACTTTGGCCTGGAGTTATACCTTCACAGCTTATTCAGGCTTTACGTCTAATGCAAACGCTGTCACTCCACGGCCTACATGGAGAGCCAATGCTAACACAAGAGTGTCCACCACAGTTCCACTGAGCGAAACGCATTATGAAGCCATGAACTTTGCCTTGTGGCGAACCATTGGAAGAGAATTCCTCATCAAGAGTAACATCAACAACTGGATTGCTTGCAAGGAAGGCTCTGGAAGCCTCGTGAAGCAGAAATCGGGGTCCCTCAGCTGTAAACTGGTCAAACAAGTTTCAAAGCAGTGTGCCGGTGTAGTGCCAAAGTCCATCACGATGCACAGTCCGGGTCCTTATCTTTCCAGCAGTAGCCTCTACTACTTTTTCGACGGTAGTACGAGTGGAGGTGTGCCCACGCACGATCCATGTGGCAGAAATCAAGCGAATCAAGTAAATGGTGTGGTTAATCCACATGGCAATATTTTTGTACGCTGAAAAATTTCTCAAACGCATGCTGAATATTGGGAAGGAACCAAGATAAAGTCATCAAATGCTAACAAGGTCTCTAGGGGACTGTAAACAAAATTAGTAGCAAAACGTTAAACTTAACATACAACTGAAAACTACACTACTGTTGTGTGGCAACAGAAAGCAGCGGGACATTGTAAATGAATATCCAGTAAATGTGGGTTCCTTATATTGCAAAAGTTTCTCATTTATTGTTCAGCATTAAATAAAGTTTAGTTAACTATCGTCACCCAGTTAAATCATCTACTATTCCCACCGTCAAAGAGTAAAACAAAGTTAAATTATTTCCCTGGACCGAATTTTTCTCGTTTTACGTTTTTTGCGTTAGTTTAGTGAGAGCGACAACACGAAACACGCTGAATAGACTCAACTCTTTCATAAGAGACACCTATTTAAGACGGACACCTGGTTTTCGTCCCTGCCGTTTTCAAGTCATTTTACTGTAACTATACCCCTCACTAAAAAAAAGAAGGAGACGGACACCTCTCTAAGACGAACACAAGTCACTTCTAAAACCGTCAAAGGACACTTGAGAAGTAGTTTATGCCGTGAAAAATTCCGTACGTCCATGCGGAAAAGTAGGTGCTCAACATGACATTAAACTACAATAATGGGGAAGCAATTTACATAACCAAACTGACCAAACTCTGTACGGGACTCCTGCTTGTATATTAAAACTATTCTTGTCCTTTCTAAACGTCACTTGGAGAGAAAAGAAAAACACTGTCCTGTTAACCTGTAAAAACGTTATCTTCTCGTTTTCGCTGAACTTTAGAGTTTAGCCTTTCAAGAGGAGAACTTCAATGTTTCCACCAAAAACAAACCATTACTGACTTACAATACCATGCAATACAGTAACTGTATTACAGTTTATTTTGTACTCAAAATATATATATAGTATATCATTTTAAGGGCCAATATATTTTTCGCCTAAAATTGAAACATCAATTAGCAACAAAAGAATGAATTCGGTTCAATCATTTCTTAAAATGACTCCAGTGTGGTTACACGCGCATTGAACTATGACGAAACAAATTGAAACCGTTACCTAGGGGGTCATACGGTTTACGGTTCCTATACACGAAAACTTCCGGAGAACTTGGCAATAATATGGAATTATTCGATTTTCACTTGCGAAATTGGCGCTTAAGTCATGAGCTAGAGAGACTCTAGAAGGAAATCGCGCATAGTGAAACATTTTTTCGAATATTTCTCGCTGAAATTTCTGGTATCATCTTTTATTGATATAATTGGTAAGTCAAATTTTTAGAGAAATCTTTAGAGCAGAATTCCGTAATTAGAGCTGTTCGATGATTTCGACAACGAATTGCTCTGAGGCAGAACAAAGCGTCACTTCACTGAATTTTTGGCACAAGTATTTTCAAGACAAGCTATATTCTGAAAACCAAGCCGATCGGCAATCGTGCTATTCTTTAAAAAGTCACTCCATAAATTATTCCAACCTCGCTGTGAAGATAATTTGATTTATTCTTCAATATTTTTTAAATATCTTTCAGCACTTTTGGCTCAAACTCCTGCTATATGGAGCCTTTTGTGTAAATAGAAAATATTTCACAAAGAAAAAATCCATAAACCGATGTAAGCTTATTATTTCTATCCACCTATCGGCCTGACATTCCTTTAATGTTCTGCAACTAGGGAGAAAAATCGCCAACCCAGTTCCTTTTGCCTGAGTGGGGACTAGGGTAGGGAATATTGATTAATCACAGAGGTTAAAAATAAAATGCCGCAAGTAAAAAATCTTGTTACCGTAATGTGGCATATTTTATACAACTATTGTCTGACCTCGTATAAACCCACGCTGCTCATATCGGTTTAATCGTAAGGCAAATTTATTTCAATATTCAGTGGACAAACACTGTACGATGTTTCGTTTTACGTTGGGTATTTTTATCGCCAGCCTCTGTTTTTCCGCAACAAGGTAACAATTTTTCGTATTTCTATTTGTTTATGCTAAACATATAATGAGTATAAATGTAAAACCTCTCAATTTTATGGTGAGAGGTTGCCTTTTATTTGCTTTCCGCGGCATTTAGCGTGTTGCCACTACTTATTTCCGTTAAACAAATTTGAGAAAATTTATAGTTTTGTTGTTGTTTCGTTTCACACGCCGCTTAAACCCTTTTCTTTGTCACTTTACTGTAAAATTACTAAATACTGTACACCCAACTTTAAATAGGAAAAAATTTTACATGAACAACGAGGCTCAAATTTCCACCGCAAAAATCGAGAGCATTGTAAGTACTTCGGGATGCAGGTGTAATAATATTATTAATTGACAAGCAAAATACATCAGTTTATGGTTCAACGCACTGCAGGTTTTTATTGAGTGAAAACAACGATGAAACAGATCATAAAATTATACTTACAAGTCTGTATGTATCTGCGGTAAAATATTTCAAATTTATGTTTCTAGAATTTTCAAAAGCAAAGTTAAAATATCTCTATTCCCCACCCGATGCTAAAAAAGAACGAAAGAACAATTCATGTTCAGTTTGTGCAAAAAATCTTTAAAACCGGATCAACCTCTTTTAAAATCGACTCGTTCTTATATTTATTTTTTTAAATTTGATTATCGCTGGTTGATCGAAATAGATGAGTTTTGAACTTCCGTGGAAAAACTATGATCATTCTTCTTCCTTCGAAAACTTTTGCTAAAAACTTGCAAAGTGCAAACCGATTTCTCGAGCCTCAAGTATTCCTTTTTGTTGTAGAGGACAACAAAAGTTTTCAGGCTTAGTCACATATCTACAGCGTTCGTTTTGTAGGATATTAAGTTTCCAACCAAATGTTTGATTCCGTACAAATTCTTGCAAACAATGAATATGCGCGATCAGCTAGGAGAAAGCTAATCACATGTAATCTATGTAACTTCTTAAACTTGATTTGCACGCAGGGCCCTGGATAAGAAAATTCGATACAAAGTTCTTGAGATGGACCCAAAAGGAAATCTTTACCTTCACAAGTCTGCGTTTCTCTGCAAACATGAAATTGTTAAACAACTTGTAAATGACAAATACCAGCTGGTAGAATCGAACCTGATAGGTGAGTCGCGGTGGTTTGCTTTAATTAATGTGCCGTGATGTAACGACTCAAGATTCTTATTCAATTACATCTGTCATACATCTGTCACTCCCACGATATAAGAAAAGCTTGTAAATTCGTGAATTAGACGAATGAGATACCTTCCTTGAACTGCTAAGAATGTTAAAAAGGCGAGAAACACTGACAGTGCCACCCAAAATGTTTTCCTTAGTTTTCTTTGCTCATGGAGATACGACGTAAATTCAATTCGTAAGCGGAAAGTTATTTTGTCCATTGACTCTTTTTTTTCAGCGGTAACTGTTGCTACTGGTAGTCCTTTCAGAAAAAAATCATATTTTCAAATGGTCGTTTTCGTTATAAACGCAGGTCTGTCCATGGATTCTCCAGCACAGAATTGTAAGGACCTTCAAATGAAAGTGCCTTCTGCCACGTCAGGGGTTTACTGGATTGACCCCGATGGTGGTTCCCATGGCAACGCTTTTCAGGCCTATTGCGACCAACAGACGGACGAAGGAGGCTGGACTTTGGTCTGGAGTTACACCTTCACAGCCTATTCAAGCTTCACGTCCGATGCAAACGCTGTCACTCCACGACCTGAATGGACAGTCCGCAATTCTAACACAAGAGTGTCCACCACAGTTCCCCTGAGCGAGACGCATTATGAAGCCATGAGCTTTGCTTTGTGGCGAACCATTGGAAAAGAATTCCTTATCAAGAGTAACATCAACAACTGGGTCGCTTGCAAGGAAGGTTCGGGAAGCCTCGTGATGCAGAAAGCGGGGTCCCTCAGCTGCAAACTGGTCAAACAAGTTTCAAAGCAGTGCGCAGGTGTTGTGCCAAAGTCCATCGCCAGGAACACATATGGTCCGTATCTCTCCAGCAGTAGCCTCTACTATTATTTCGACGGTAGTACGGGTGCAAATGCACCCACACATGATCCATGTGGCAGAAATCAAGGGAATCAAGTAAAAGGCGTGGTCAATCCACATGGCAATATTTTTGTAAGGTGAAAAATTTCTCAAGCGCCTTCTGAATATTGGGGAGGAACCAAGAAAAAGTCATTAAATGCTATTAAGCACTCTAAGAAACTGTAAACAAAACTAGTAGCAAAAAGTTAAACTTATCATACAACTGAATACTAAACTACGGTTGTGTGGCAGCAGAGGGCAGCGGAGCATTGTAAATGAATAGCGAATAAATGTGGGTTCCTAATATTGCAATTGTTTCATTTATTGTTCAGCATTAAATTAGGTTTTATTAACTATCGTCACCCAGTTAAATCATCCACTTTCAATTGCTGATATTTCTCACCGTCAAAGAGTAAAACAAAGTTAAATTATTGTTCTTGACCGATTTTTTCTCGTTATACGTTTTTCGCGTTACTTGCTGAAAGCGACCACACGAAAAAGCTGACTCAACTCTCTCATAAGAGACACCTATATACGACAGACACCTGGTGTTGGTCGCTGCCGTTTTCAAGTCATTCAGTACTGCTACTATGCTCTCTATAAGACGAACACCTTCCTTAGACGAACAACGTACACTTCTGAAACCGTCAAAGGACACTTGAGAAGGGGTTTATGCCGTGAAAAATACGTCAAAACGGAAATGTGGGTGCTCAACATGACAGTGAACTACAATGTGGGGAAGCAATTTACATAACCAAACTCTGTACGGGACTCCTACTGTTCGTATCTTATAACCAGTATCGTCCTTTCTAGACACCACGCTGAGAGAAACAAAAACATTCTCCTGTTAACCTGTAAAACAGTTATCTTTTCGTTTTCCCTGAACTTTAGTTTAGCCTTTCACGAGAACTTCAAATGTTCCTACCAAAAACAAACCATTACTTACTTACAGGACTGTATTACACCGTTTGTTTTGCAGTTAAAACGTTTACTCAAAGAAGCGAATCACTATAGTTCTCCACGAAGTTATTTTGCAGTCTTGTTCCAGTTCGCAAAGTGTTTACTGTTACACTTTTAGACCACTAAGTCGTGACATTGGCTTATAATGAACGTTTGATCATGTATTAGTAGTTCTAGCACTTCACATTTGGAATACCTGTACAATGGAACTACCCGTGTCCCGGTTTCGATCTTACTATTATATGCACGCATATTCTCACACAAGGGATCTCAAAGAACAAGGTAAATTGGGACAGGCGACAATCCTGGACAAAACTACTTGAAAAAATGTTTTCATTAATGCGCACTACGTAACGCAACAAAACTATTTCCAAATCAACGGCTTTGCGTAAAGAAAACCCCCTCCCTCAGTTCAAAGTTGCTTCCTACAAAAGCTTAGGGATCCGGCTTTCTGTTGAAGACCCAACAACACTGCTTCCAGGGGGAGGGGGAAGGGAAGAATCGGTCGGCTAGGAAGTTTAGAAAAAATGCCCCCCAATTAAGAAATTTTCCCAACAGTTAATTTTGTCCAAGATTGTACTGCTCGCCTTGGGGTAAGAGACAAAATAAAAATCTGTACTGGCCTTCTTAAAAGTTCACCCCAGGGGAAAAATAAATTACAACTCCGCTTTCTTTTACAACCAAGTCGATGTTTCTGAATTGCTTGAACCAGAATTGCTTGAACAGTTTGTGGTTGTTTATACCTCACTACAAGAATTTAAACTATGCAAAACAAAATTCGCCTTGATTGTTTGATTACAAGGATTCTCGATTCTCTTGTGTTGCCGCCTTTAGGTTCCATGCGAGAAACATTCATGTATTATAAGTGGGGTCAGAAACCAAAATGCAGAAAATCAAAGCAAAAGTTTGATCAGCAACGTTGCAGGTGGCGGAGCCGTGACAACCTCAGCGGTTACCTTCTCTTTAATTTTGCTCCTTTGACGGCGTTTGAAGTCATCGTCAAACTCATGACAACCACAAAGAAATGCGAAAATAAAATCAAAAGAGCCAACTTTGCGTGAACAGAGTGCCAAAAAAACTTGACGCAAGGCAGCTCTAACTCAGACGTGAACATTTTAACGAGAAAGATTTCCTGGAAAAGCTTCTAATGATTGATCCGTCAGCAACCATTGCATGGACATACCACCAAAGACGGAGAAAGAATATAGCCAACGGTTTACCATGCTGTAAATATCGATTGTGATGACCAAAGCAAAACTTTCAAAGATTAAAAACGCCCTCAATGTTTTTGGAAAGGTCTTACAGCCATCCAAAACTTGCTGATGCTGAAAAAGTTTCTGAAAAGGTGGCCTCTGATTGGCTGCAAAAACAAGCGCTTTTGCTGGTTTATCTGTCGGCTCCTCTCCACATTATGAACGCCGTCTCCAAACCAATGAAGAAATTGGGGTAAATGTCGGCCGTGGTCCTGTGGTTATTAACAGGGACCAAGCGATCGTTGGACGTTTTTGTTGGTATGACTGTGGTGCGTTTGCTCAGCGGCATACGCAAGTTTTGGCCGGTGGATAAACAAGAGTTTACTCACACGCTTCGATTCAAAGCGCTACCTCCTATCAGACAAAATAAACACTCTAGCCTCCGGGATCAAGGAAAACAAGCAACAGCTTTACTGGAGTTAGTTCTGTATCAGCTGGCACAACCCGCAGCTCCTGATGGACAAAGCCTCGCCCGGGGCAACTTTCAAGGGTATAGATGTTGTGGTTCAATTTTATCCTTGGTTTAAATTTTATTTTCTTTTGTTTTTGGGTATGGTAATGTATGATAATGATTTATAAACAAAGAAAATAAAAATTAAACCAAGGATAAAATTAAACCACAACATAGATACCTTGGGTTTAGCCACTTTTTTTGTATTTAATGAATTTTTATTTTGTTATGTATTACATTTTTTCACACACTGACCCTTATGAACACGTAGGAAATAAACAAAAAAAGAAAAGAAAACTAAAAATATATACATTGCAGACTCACACACAATTACATACTGATAAAAAGAAAGAAAGAAACACACCCAAGAACAGAACCTTCTACTCTATTTACATGAAAAAATTAATAAAAATTAACAATAAATGAAGTAAGCGGCGAAAGGATCGTATGCCAATCAAATTTATATTTAACATTTGACTAAAAGGGTCTGTGGCGCGTCTGCGCCCTCCCGAGTTGGTAAAGATATAGCAGACATTCACTTAGGGGAAATCTTTTCTTTGATGAACTTTTGCAGGTATTTTGCCTGTGAGGAGATTCACTTTGGGCCGAACCACCCACGCCGCTGATCATTACCCAGCAAACAGACGCATTACAACAGCACACTGGCGCTTAACCTGCGATCAGGCGTTTTTTTTTTCAAAGGCGGACGAGGCGAGAGGAAAAAAAAAATAACGCCCTCTTCCCGTGACAGACATAGAGGGATAATAGGGAGAGGGCATGATCTCAGGCCAACTGGCGCTCAAAGAGGCGCTCAACCAGGGTTGTGCAGTTAAAATGTTAACCAGCCGGTAAGGCCTTGATTAAAGAGGTTTAATGCTTAGATGTAGACGGAACAGCAAACACAACCATCTCTGCCATGGTCGTCCTCACACTCTAACTTTTGGTGAACCCTTGAAAGATTTTCCTTTTATCCTTGTCGGTAATGACCTTCCTCAGTAAACACTTTTTCTTCCCTTTGCCCTATTCTCAATTTGTCAGCGTCCTTTTATTCTTTGGCGAACGAGTTCATCTTTTCCTTCAGCGCCGCGAACTCCTGCTCATTGGATGGCCCCCGCAGTCATTCAGTCATGTCAGTTGATGCCAGCGACCTTGCATTGATTGCTGCCAGTTTTCAGGTGGCAAGTCAAGCTATCAAAAAAAGTGGGTATCGTGAGTTGACCGACAGTGAAGAGTGGCAATGTTGGAAGTGGACTTTGAATATCCAATCTCCCTGCATGATAAGCATAACGACTACCCTCATTTAGCGCCAGAAAAGGTAGCAGTGGCATAAAATGAGTTGTCTCACTAGCAAATCATAGTTAATTGAGTGGAATGGTTATGAAACCCGTCAGACTCCTTTGTTATATGTTTTTGTGGACCTGAAAGTGCACAACGTTCAAAAGAATTCCTATCATTTTGATTGTATTGACCAAATAAAAACGTTGCATTAATTTATTCCGTAACAATTTGCCAACAGAAAACAAAGGATTGTGTACTTTCAGGGTGCTTCCAAAATAAACTGCAGCACTGTTGTTTTTATCATTGATGTTTGCCGCTTTTCATAACCAGTCTCCTCTAATAACTATGAGCAAATGAAACACGTTATTGTAAACAAAAGTACACCAAAATTTTCAAGAAGCTTTTGTTAACAATGAAATACAAACCAAAACACATTGTTAACTACCGCGGGCTGGAGTTGTACCTGCAAATGAGAATGAAGCTCAAAAAGGTGCTTCAAGCGCTGAGGGTTGACCAAAACGCCAAGATGAAAGAATACATTGACGTGAAAATGGAGCTAAGAAAGCAGCCCATAAACGACTTTGAAAAAGAGTTCTTCAAGCTCATAAAGCCTTTTCGATATTCTACAAAAGCATTTATTCACTGTGCGTGAAAGGATCCTGGAGGACAAAGGAAAGTTTAAAAAACAGGTTAGAAGCAAGGCCTGATTTGTTTTGATGAAAAGAGATCGGGGTGACAATAATAGAGGTATTGATCGGAAGCTCAACAAGTCGTTCTACGTGGGCAAGGCAGTCCTTAAAATCAGCAAGCTTGTGAAGTACGATGTCTCTTACAACACGTTTAAGAGACATTTAGGCGAGCGATGTGAGCTGTTGTCCCCAGACACGGACAGCTTGGTGGTCAAGATCTGGACCGAAGACTTCTACGAAGGCACAAAAAATATCCTCAACTCTTCGACCCGAGCAACTAAGTAAAGGATCATCCGCTCTACAGTGATAGAAACAACAGGGTTTTCGGAAATTTGAGTGACTGGGATGACATTGACCGCTGTCAGACGTTCTCATACCAGGGGCGGAACTAGGGAAAGGGTGCAGGGGGTGCGCACCTCGACTGAGATGACCTGAGGCTAAAACCCTTTTAATTGGTTAATTATTGTGAGTAAAACATGAGATGAGGTTGAAGAATTTATGTTAAACGTCGTAAAAATGGTTGTTCAAATGGTAGTTCTTTAGTGGTGTACTCCCTTCTAACAGGGTCGTAACATGGTATATCGGGACCCATTGATCCCTATTTTCTTGCCGTTATTTTGATCCCTGAGCCCCATTTTCCCCACAATTTTGATCCCTGAGCCCTGATAAAAAAAATTGATCCCATTCATGTTTTTACACAAAATTTTATCTTAGACAACTTTGTTTATCTCCAAATATAGAATATAGAACATGCTCAAATGGGCTGAAGAGAAAAACAGTAACTTTCATTTTTAGTGCAAGTTGTAGGTTTTATCAGAGCTTTAAAGGTCAATATGAATCAACCTCTTTTTGTGCATTATTCTATATATAATGTTTGGCGATACTAGACAAATGATAAAACCCAATTTTCTTGAACGGGAACGTTAGTAAGATACAGAATGTCAGTTATTGTTAATTTATACATTAAAAGTAGTCCACTTCCCTTTAAGTATCGTACATCTTGAAAGATCTTGCGGCGGAAACTTGATTTTTTCAGGTGTAGCGTTCATCAAGAGTATCTGTAGGTTTATTTTCAGTGTTGCTCGTACGAGCAAGGCCACCCGGAGGCTTAAAAGCCAATCACAAGAAAGCATTGGATTCAAAATTCGAATAAAGATATTTTTAGTCAAACAGCAAACACAGCTAGCGCTGGTTGGTCCCCGGATGAATTAACGGCACTGTAAGGTACTTCTGAAATTAACTAAGGTCTTCCTCTAGCTTTCCAATTCCTGTCCCGTGCGAACATCTGCTTGCCCGGATAACTTGTCCAGTTAATCAATGTCCGATCTGTGTGGGTCACAGATGTTTTATTGAAAGAGACTCTTGCAACCAAAAATTTCACGTCGGCCGTGTTACTGGTCTACAATATTAATGTTAATAAAGTGTATTCGTTTGTATCACGATTCAGTCACTTAATGATGTAGATGGCGACGTTTCAACTGCGTATTTCAAGTGTTCATTAGAAAAAGCAACACTTAAAGACGTTGCCTTGCTAGTGTTCGTCGATTGGTCACACGTGAACTTATATGACTCCAAGCTCTGGTTCTGGTTGGTTGATTATTAGCCGCTGAGATTGGTACATTTCTTACTCCGTTGTTTGTATGTGCTTTTACCTCACTGGTCCGCTGTCGTGCGGATCTCCTATTGCTGTGTTTCTTGATTAAGGGCAACTAAGCTATTGGACTTTCTATTCTGCTATCCCTGTTGATGTTGTGTAGTCTTATGTTAATTTCCTCTTTCACTCTGTGTGTATTACAGTGACGATCACGATCAATTACCAATAGCAAGAAAAATTAAATGATGCAAGCCACAGGTTCTACAGTTTAACAGCTTTTCTGTGTCAAGCCCATTAATGGCTTTTTCTGGCTTAATAACCATTGTAGATTGTCAGAGGACATATCTGGTTGTAGGTTTTCCAGACCTACTCCTTCCAGCTTCAAATCTATTTGGCTCTGAGACGTTGTCCGCCTGAGCTTGCTCCGCTTCCTCTTCGTCACAACCTGACGCAGGTGAATCATCTGATTCAACTGACCCCTGGAGCAATGCATGTAAGCGTTGCTCTTCAAGGCAGCTCAAACAGAAGTTGTTTCGATCTTTCATTATTTGAACTTTTCCCATGATATACACTCAGGTGAATTTCTATCGTCACGGTACCCAGTCTGGTACACAAGGGGATCTTCTTCTGACTGTTCAGCCATCTCAAACCCATGTGATCTTCCTGGAATGCGTCACCGTTATGGTGGAGATCTTTTAAAAGAACTGCAAGGAAGAAAGGAATGATATACCTCTTGTAATTGTGCTTGAGAGCAACTACGTCGCCTTTTGAAAAGATAATCACATATTCTTCGGCTGCGCCTTGAAGCGGTAGTTTGTCCTTCACTCCCTTGAACCTCTTTCAGCAGATCGACTTCTCCATGTGCCGACGCATTCCTTTTGAACATACTCAGAGCAAGTGGAAGTGTACCAGCTCTTTCTTTGGTCTTCCCTCTCGTTCGTTGCTGTCGTACACCCCGTCCGAATTCTTTCGCAAAGCTCTGCAATGCCTTCCTTTGTCGCTCCTTTCCCTCCGCCCTCGTTTCCTCGTCCATATCCTCCTTAAGGTCTACTCTTGCCCTGCGACTTTCGAAGCCATTCCGGTGCCTTTGGACCCAGCTTCCTCTGTGTGTAATGGCTTTGAGGACCGGCATAAAAGATAAACGAGGATTGGTAGAGCCTCTCTATTGATTCTAAAAAGAAGCTGGGCCGCCGCGATGCGTAGTCGTTCAGAGCGGGTGTTTCAAAATAGCCACTGCAGGAATGAGGTCTGAAAAAATCTTGCATGAAAAAAAATAACCCATCCCCGGCTCAAAAATCAAATAGTGGGCCCCTTACTGGTGGCCCTTCATGCTGAGTACAAAAATGTATTAAATTCCTGCAGAGTCTGCTACTTGTACCTAGTATGCAACATTCCTTTTACTGGTGGCCCTTTATGCTGAGTGCTATAATATATTAAATTCCTGCAGGTTCTGCTACTTGTACCTAGCATGCAACATTCCTTTCACCAATTCAACCGTTTATTTTATAAAAAAAAAACTAAAGAAAATAAACCTTAAAGGCTTTCTTACTTCTATTTCACCGAGGTAAGTCTTTGGTGTTCCACTTATTTTCACTAATTCTACACTGTAATTTCAGATTATTTGTCATACAAGCGTTTATCAGTTATACATTAATAGAATGTGTCCTTTACTTTCCGGCCCCAATACTACCCGGGCAATACTAGTACTGGTAGGTGAACCGATCTGGGTTTCTCATCAAGGTTCGAGGTAACCCTAAAACTCCATGCAATTAGAGCAGATTTATTAAATAGCGAGAAAGCATTTATTTTGCAACAAAGCGCGCAAATTCATTGTACTTGTATTCTACTTTTGACGTCCATTGTAATTATTTAAGTGCCTTAAAGGGTTAAGTTACTGGTCAAAAAATACGAACCTCGATTTATAGTCGCCTTGTGACTTGCTTGAGGCGATGAGGCAATGGGGACCTATACAGTAAATTCCGCTTTCAATGAATCGGTTTGTCTATTGTCCTGGCGGTATTGTTATGTTTGATCGGCCGAAAAACTCTATGCTTGGACCCTTGCCAGGAGTAAATCAGTCAAGGAAGTACTATAAGGTACTTCTGAAATTAACTAAGGTCTTCCTCTAGCTTTCCAATTCCTGTCCCGTGCGAACATCTGCTTGCCCGGATAACTTGTCCAGTTAATCAATGTCCGATCTGTGTGGGTCACAGATGTTTTATTGAAAGAGACTCTTGCAACCAAAAATTTCACGTCGGCCGTGTTACTGGTCTACAATATTAATGTTAATAAAGTGTATTCGTTTGTATCACGATTCAGTCACTTAATGATGTAGATCGCGACGTTTCAACTGCGTATTTCAAGTGTTCATTAGAAAAAGCAACACTTAAAGACGTTGCCTTGCTAGTGTTCGTCGATTGGTCACACGTGAACTTATATGACTCCAAGCTCTGGTTCTGGTTGGTTGATTATTAGCCGCTGAGATTGGTACATTTCTTACTCCGTTGTTTGTATGTGCTTTTACCTCACTGGTCCGCTGTTGTGCGGATCTCCTATTGCTGTGTTTCTTGATTAAGGGCAACTAAGCTATTGGACTTTCTATTCTGCTATCCCTGTTGATGTTGTGTAGTCTTATGTTAATTTCCTCTTTCACTCTGTGTGTATTACAGTGACGATCACGATCAATTACCAATAGCAAGAAAAATTAAATGATGCAAGCCACAGGTTCTACAGTTTAACAGCTTTTCTGTGTCAAGCCCATTAATGGCTTTTTCTGGCTTAATAACCATTGTAGATTGTCAGAGGACATATCTGGTTGTAGGTTTTCCAGACCTACTCCTTCCAGCTTCAAATCTATTTGGCTCTGAAACGTTGTCCGCCTGAGCTTGCTCCGCTTCCTCTTCGTCACAACCTGACGCAGGTGAATCATCTGATTCAACTGACCCCTGGAGCAATGCATGTAGGCGTTGCTCTTCAAGGCAGCTCAAACAGAAGTTGTTTCGATCTTTCATTATTTGAACTTTTCCCATGATATACACTCAGGTGAATTTCTATCGTCACGGTACCCAGTCTGGTACACAAGGGGATCTTCTTCTGACTGTTCAGCCATCTCAAACCCATGTGATCTTCCTGGAATGCGTCACCGTTATGGTGGAGATCTTTTAAAAGAACTGAAAGGAAGAAAGGAATGATATACCTCTTGTAATTGTGCTTGAGAGCAACTACGTCGCCTTTTGAA